TCCTGTTATTGTCATGTATTTTAATTTAATTTAATCATAAATTTCCACTCCAAAAACCACATCACTTGATTCTGTTCATCAATGCCTAATTGACTGACACCTTACACAATGGTCGGTCATTGGGTTGATAAACAAGTTCCTCCCTCATTGATAAATAGTGACGGAACCACATTGAGTCATGGTTGAGCATAAACCCTACAGTGGCTTAAAAGTTGGTTTTTTTTTTTTTTTTTTTATCAGATTAAAAATTACTTCGTTGGCAGTAGTAAGAAACGGTTTTCCTTTTCTTTTCTTTTCTTTTTTTTTTTTTTTTCTAATTATCAATATAACGGGTAGGTTTCCATTTAGAACACTACGGAGAGGCCCAACTCATAATTATATGCCGTTGGATGATGAGGTTTTGGTTGAATAATGCGAGGTCGGCAGGATTTTGAAATGTAGAAAAGAGAAAGGTATACATAGCAAGTTTGGATCTGAATTATTATGCAATTTAGTCTACACAATAAAAACTGTTTAATGAAGAAGGAGCTCCCTCGTATTAAGGCTTGTCCTCTTGTCTAACTACCTCTATTTTACATTCTGGCGTAATCCACGTTGCAAAACATGAAATTATTTTTAAATATCATTCTCTGCTTTTCAACAAAAAATTCTTAAATGAAAAGATTCTTAAATTTCATTCTGCCTTTGGCCTAATGGCCAAAAAAGTAAGTATACATAAGAATCGTATTGTTCAAACCGGATTGCACCTTGCAGTTCAAACATCAAAATTATCAAAATACTTTTAATAAATAAATTAACATAAAAGAAAAATTTTAAAAATGGTAATTTGATAACAAATTTATACCTTGGACTACACTTAAATTCTAACACATTTTTGTAGTTATATTTCTTCATTTTTTATATATATGAGGAAATAAGTATATTACCCCTCTTTCGTTCAAATGTTCAAATGCAATAAATAACCAAATGAAAGGGGTGGCTGAACATGCCCAAAACATGACAAGCTAAGCTGAAAAACAAACTCTAGAGAAAATGACAGACCACAGACCTTGTTGGGATCAATTATTAAGCTTCAGGGATGGGAGGTTCGTTTATGAAAATCAGAAAAGTGCAGCCCGTACAGGACAGACTGGGCCACTTATGATAATTGATGGAGGGACCATCAAGGTAACTATGAGAAATAATTAAAAAAAAAAAAATACTGTTATATATACAAAACCAGTTGAGACAGTTGATTGTATTTAGTGAGGCACAGGTTGCATAAGCAAAATGCAATTTTCTAAGCCACCTACTCAGAAATCAGCAGCAGTTGGGACCTATGAAAGAGTTGACACAACACATGCCAGCTGATGAGACGATTTCTGTTTCCTTGCAGTTATGCCCTCAATCTTCAGGCATTAATATCTGAATCAAGAACTGATGATGTCCACAGCCAAAATTACATTTGCCATTGTTGATCAATTTCAACCTACTAATCATTTTGCTTAAATCTGCTGCAAAACAAGTTCAGAAACTCTTGTTCTATGTATATATAACAACACACATGAGAATCATATTTGCAGCACTGACTCCAGTAAGTAAGCTGCTGTCCAAAATCAATGCAGCTCAGCCACTGTCAACCCAGAAAAGGCTAAAGCTGAAATGAAAGCTTACGAACCGTAAGGAGATGTCAATGGAACCTTGCGGGATCCAGACCCCTCTTGAGTGCTGACTGGCTTGTTGGACAACCGCTTCTTGTAGCGTTTAAGCACAGATGCCAGATTCTCTTTTCCTTTTGGAAAGGCTACATCACCAGCAGCAGTTCCTGTTCGACCCTTTCGAGAAGATACTGCCGTCTCCACGTTCTTAATCATCTCTAAGACCATAGCTGCTGTTGTACATTTACCCCTGCCAGGTTTGGCAGATGGGGGCAACATTACATTTGTAACAGGTGGACTTGATCTGTGCGCCACAGGAATTTGAAGGCAGAAACAAGGGGCCATTGGACTATGGGACCTTGAAAATGCCAAATCCATCACACCCTGTTAACAGGGATTTGAAATTGTTAAGATCATCAAACTAAAGGAGAAACTAAAAGCAAACGAAAAGAAAAGTAGCTCCCCGATCCAAATTATATGCACAACACTTGGATTCAATCTATGGCAATAAGGAAATCTTCACACGTAATCAATGCATCTCAAGTGCAAAGAAGTACAAAACAGATTTTCAAGACCAACAAATGCATGATCCAGATTGCCAGGCAGTCAGTTACAAAAGTTTCTACAATGAGAGAAACAGGGGTGGGAAGAAATTCTTTTGGAAATAATGCTTCCTTGTTGGCCATGTTTAATGTCACATTCATTGGAAAACAGGAGAGGAAAAAATAATAAAAGCCTAAAACCAGTTCAACATCAAACCTAAGTACGAGAATTACCTGAAGGCGATTAAGCACATAAGTATATTTTCCCCAAAGCTCCGGTCGGCTTTCCATTACTAAAAGATCAAGAATCCGATGAATGCACCACACCCCAAAGCTCACTATCAAATCTGCCCTCCAAATACACGCATCGCCACATTGAGGAACTGATGAAATGAGTGAGTCAGCAACACCTACCTCGTCATTTTTCAGTGCAGAACCAACTCTCTTGTCAGATGACAAATATTGAGAACCACTAATGTGACCGAGCTGGTTTATCTCTCTACTCTCAGCTTCATACAGAAATTTTTCTCTTGCTGCAACTCGATCAATTAATTCTTCATCAGCTCCATCACTTTGTCTAAACAACCAATCAGAACCTTCCAGTTTCAAAAGTTTAATTATACAATGTCGAAAAGATTGAAGAAGCTTTGCCTCTGAATCCAACACTGACGTAGATTCTTGAGCAACTGAGTTCCACTCATCTCCAAGTTCTTCACTCCCAGCAGAACGACTTTTATCAGCCACACCAAACTGCTCAAAAGGCTGTCTGGACCAAAGGGATCCAGTATCTGAACCTGAGCTGAATTGCATGGGGAAAGTATCCCGATAGCCCTTCGATGGATAAAGCTCATTGAAGACCAAAGGAGCTCCTGCCCTTGATCCTGCATTTGAATACATTGTTTCATAGTTTGTCCTACCAATGGATGAGCCATATCCAAAGCGACCATCCCACGGAGCTCCTTTATCAGACACTAACACATCCCGAGGAACAGAACGTGCTGAGATGTCTGGTAAGCTATGATACTTCTTGGTATTGGATGAGACCACACTACCATCAGGTGGTACAGTAGAGCGTAAATTATAATAAGATCTTTCAGGCTGCAAAAGAATGTTTCTAGAAACCGCATGGTTCTGAAATCCAGGTGCTTGTGCAGAGATTATCCCATTTTGCATTTTTTTCCCTGGTGCAAAACCCAGTTGACCTCCATAATTTATGGGAGCAAGTGAAGGAGATCTTGACAGAGGTGACTCAACTTGACCATTCAAGCAATTAGAGTTTCTGTCCTTAGCAATTGGATTGACATAAGATGAAATCGGAAAGCCATGCACTGTAGCTGGCTGATTATCCCATGAATCAGTAGATGGTGCCACACGCAGGCTTGAGTACCGCCTCTCACTAACATCAACATTACAGCTGGAACTTTGAACATATGGATCCAACAATTGTGTGTGGTTTGACCACAAGGAAGATCCCCCTTGAAATCCATATGGAGAATCAATACTATTTTGCACTCTTGGCTGCTTAGGAGAGTCATAGTGAGTAGAGCTCATGATGGATTCAGCTCCTCTTCCTACACCAGAAGGAAAATGCCCACCATATTCCTTCCCAGTAACATCCACTTTTAGTGATGATAATGTTGGCTTAGAATCAACCCCCAACAAGACATCTAGTTTCTTAACCTTTGCTTCCTGAGTAAATTGTCCATGGAAATCATACAACTGTCCCCAAAATTCGTCAAGAAATGCAGCCAGTTGGCGCCTTGCAGCACGCCCCAAACCAGCTAATTTTGACAGACTCCCAGTACCATTTCCACCTTCATCACTTTTCCCACTGAGACTCCTCAAAGAAGGAGGGCCATCAGGCATCAGAGATGCAGTGCTCACAGGAGCAGCTTTTGATAGTTCTTCAGGCTCCCAGATATCTCCCTCATCATCATCTTTTTCAACTCGTAGATCTGCCTCTAAACTTACTGTTTTTTCCACAGGGCTCAATGATTCAATTTTCAAAGTCTTGGTGTTTGGTAAATCATCATGCCCCACCTCATTGCCTATACTTGGAGCTGACACAGCCATAGATGCTGCTTCCTCTTTATTATCAACCAAAGGCCTAGACAATGTAACACTAGAAGAGTTCTCCTCAACAGTGGTCAAACTGATTTCCTGGTCAGACTCTATGATACTCTCAGGCAATTGCAGTTCAAAATTCTCATCAGATACATCTTCTGAATGCCTTTCAACAGTCTTACGGGTTGCTGGTTCCTGCTTCTGAACAGGTTCCTCTCTATGGTATCTGGTGTCAGCCAAATCATCTTCCTCCACCTGTCCAAAAGCATCAACTTGCGAACTTGCAGACTTTAGTGGAGTAGCTAGTAACCAAAGCATAAAAGAAAATGATGAACAAGCAGCAATGAGAAGCACAAAAAATGAGATAGATGAGCCAATCCCAGCATTATCTCTCAAAGTGCCAACCCAGTCACTATTCCCAAATATCATTTCTACCACAAAAATAACCTTTAAACTCAACATTCCCAGGAAAGTTATCAGGGCTAAGAACTCCACAAAAGATGGAATTTTGTGGACACCCATAATTGGCCTTGATGAGGCAATCCTAAACAAGGGGATCACAGAAGATGGAAGCAGCAGCGCTACCATAACCTGAGTGAAGATAAGCAACTGATATATGCCTTGAGCTCCCAAAGTCCACACACAATAAAGAGCTGGGACCATTGCTATGATTCTGATTGTTGCAGAATGCAGCCAACCAGGTATGTCAAGTCTGAGGAAGTCATTTAAGACTACTTGTCCACCAGAATTCCAGGTTGATGCTGTGATTTGATTAGATAAGAATATAAGCAGAAAAAAGGCTGAGGGAAATACTGCATTCGTAAAGGCCTGTTTTAATTATTTTGAGAAAGGAATTTATTAGTATACACATATCGAACAATGCATAGAATGCCAAAAGTACAGAAATGTAAACTTTGGAGATCATCACAACAAATAGGTTATGAAAAAGCAGAATACCTGTTCCATTAGTGATAATGCATCTTGAAAAGTAAGCAAATCAAAGCCAGAACTGAAGAATACATTTGCAGCCGAATTCATCAGCACGTGATTTACTAGATAAATTCCACTGAAGAGACATAAGATGGTAAAAAAATGATTGTGACACAAGGCACTCTTGGAAATATTTGCTGGCCCCTGATACCGCTGTGAGTACAAGAGCAAACTTTAGAAAGTTGACAAAGAAAAGCAGCAAGCTTCGTAATTTCTAAAGAAATGCAAGTATGAAAATGATCCAAGTATAGAAACAGATACTAATAGAAGTGCATAATAAAAACAACTACAAATCCAGGAGAAAATCAGTAGGAAAAAAAAGCATAAATGCATTGACTGCAAGGAACAGCTCCCATTCAGTTTCAGAAACAATCCTCAGCTACAGTTTTAGGACAAATAAAACTATGGAAGAATTATCTGAAATGCAATTAAAAAACACATTCCACCACCAAAACACGTCCACATGCAACAAAGCAAAAAGGGTAATGTGATAGTTTAAAATGCAAGTTGAGCTCATAAGATACTTTTCTAAAGGAAAATAGAGACATGGAAGAAAACTAGAATTGTTTGAACCCAAAAAATAAGCAGATTCTTCCAACCTTCATGAGACATGTTTTAATGTGGATAAATTATTTTAGCATGATACAAGGGATCAGGAAAGGAATCCTTCTATGCTGGGTACAGCTTATGATCAATTCATCAACATTTCCTAAAGCCTGCTCATAAACCAGAGCACATGACTTGAACCAACTCAAGTTGCTCAAGAGTTGATATAGTTGACACATCGTGAAGAAAATATACGCATGAACATCAATGTTTGATTATAAATATCAATAATATAATTGAAGATAGATATGAATACAGAACAATTTATTCACGTCCTTCTACAGGCTATGTCTAGGAGAAAAATATGGTAATTATATTACACTACATTGCATAGTTCAAGCCATATCTGTTTGAAGTTGTGCCTACACATATGGATCTATTGTGCTAGAAACCTCAATGCCTTGTCTTCTTTTTCAGTCAGATGAGTTCAACTTAGAAACAGAACTACAGACAAGCACACTTACCGCTTACCGGAAAGTATTCATCACAAGTTTCAACAACACCAAGGCATCTGAATTCAGCAGTCAAAAGTGTTTTATAGTGGATTTTATCGATTTTTTAACTCTCAGATAAAATACATGACACAAACCTTCATTTAAATACCATTGACAGCAGAACAAAACAAGAAGAGGATGCTGAGAGACAAAAAAAAACTGAGGAGAGAGCTACCTTAACAATGGAAGAATGAAGGTAAAAGTTGTGAGGCATAATATTTGCCCCAAGAAGACTCATCAAGGCAAAAGCACTCTCTCCATTCAATTTTGTTAGTACACCATGCATGGAAATTGAGATCTCAGGTTGACTGATAAGCACTCCAAACACATAAGAGAGCAATACAAAGCCCACCATGTACATGGAAAACACATTTGTCTTCCAGTAATCCTGGAAAGTGAGTACTAAATAGATTGTTAATGATACTAGAGTCAAATTGTACATTGATGTAAATAGTCAAACTTACAAGGAAGGTGGCAAAAATGGGAAATAAAACAGCATCCAGAGCAGCTAAAAAAACACCAGCTGACAGATCCACCCCAAAGAGAAGATTAAGCCCAAGTGCAATGCCCAAAACCTGGTGAAATCAGCATGACCATGCAGAGAAATAAAAACAGAACTAAGTCACAAAGTGCAAAGCAGAGACTACCATGGCCAGAGTTCTATCATAACTTGAAAAAGATCAGCAAACCATATCATGAAACTTACCATAGTAAGGTCCAATGCAATCACTGAGAGCTCTGCTTGAACTCCTAAGAACATGCATGTGTACTTATCATACTCATCACTGCAAATCTATCAATACCACCCACAAGAAGGGTAAGACAGAGAGAAGAATAGAGTTTAAACTTTAGAACCATGAAATTCCAGAGAGGGAAGTGCAGAAGTGCATGTACGTGAACAAGGTTGAACAAACAAATCAAATGCATGCACATACACATGCTTATATAAAGGATATCTCAATGATTATCATAAGAAGTTCTTAATGGACAATTACAACTCAAGTTTAGAATTCAAAATATAACAATTTAACTGCTTTTATACTTTATACACTACCCACACAATTTTTTTAACTTGTTGCCTTTCAGTTATAAGTTATCTATAAGCTAAGCTAAGCTCAAACAATAATTTTTATTAAAAACATTATGTTAATACTTAACAGATAAGTAGAAAAAAGGAAAATAGATAAGTTAAATTATCTCTTCTACATAATCAGAAAAAATTAATGATTTGCTCCTCCACAAAAGCATGCAAATTGGATTTACCATGTGAACAATTATCTACTGACATATACGTTTTTGGCTCATGCACTTGTAAGACTTCAACAGAGAAAAAGTTTTAGAAAGATACGGTCTACCAGTACTATTCCAAGCAAATATCCTTGACATATTAAACATGAGTAAATTTAGAGGAAAAATAAATGAAAGAACAGAGTTTCTAATAAAAATTACCATAAATGAGGAATTGTCCATTATTATAACAAAAATGATCATAAAAGCCATGCTCAGGCAAACATAAACAGCCGCGAGGAAAAGGGCATGCAAAAATCCCCAAAATGAAAAACCTTTACCTGAGCAAGATCTCTTCCAGTGACAATACCAATTCGAGCTGACAGGTATTGACACAAAATGGCAGCAAAATTGAAGAGAAGCATTACTGCTACCAACTCAGACCCAAAACGTGCACCTCCATAAATGGTTGCGACCCACTTTCCAGGATCAACATACCCAACTGAGACAAGAAGCGCAGGTAGGAGTGCTGGAAGCCATCTATTAAGAACATCTGACTGCTTAGTTTTCACAATATCCGCTTCCATTTTTTAATAGGATGTTCAAACCAGATTCGAGGAACAGTGCAGTACAAGGGTTAAATTACACTTCAAAGCATAAACTTAATCACCCATCCACAAGATAAATAAATTACATGGTTTCTTGTTGTGACTGCATCTGTCAAGGTATGCCACCCATCACCATTCCTTGAACACTATATTAGCAACTTCTTTGATAAAGCCTTATTGACCCCGCAAAGCACACTAGCAACATTCAGATTCAGGGAATGTTCTTCTCCTAGTAATTATGGTGACTGCTGACAAATCAACGTTCCTGCTCTAGCAGCTACAACCAATAGGAGTGGCAGATCCACTCAATTAATGTGAGACCTAAAAGATTAACCTTTGAGGTCAAATCCCTGAGGCAATAACTCAAATCAGTCAAAATAAATGAAAGATCAACATCTTGAACACAAAAGTATAGAGAAAGCAAGCAAGTAGGGACACAAATTTGTAGTCAGTAACCAAACAGTCAGGCCACAAGTAAACTAGACCAGTCCATTTAGACATACCACACCTAGAATTCATTCTATCAGGAAACTCATAATCACAGGTTACCTTTCAAAGCAAGATTGCTACTAATGCTATCAATAACAGTATGCAGAGATAAATAACCTGGAAACCAGAAGAAGAATCTAGCAAAAACACATCAAAATCCAAACTCCCAAAAGAAAACAAACAGGTTAAAGTCCCAACTCACGCCCCCCGGATCTTCCCAAAATGGAAAAAGTTGGTAGACTAGACCCACCTCGGATCAACCCGGGAACAGACTCTGAAACAGAAATCACTTATTAAAATGGAAAACGCTCCAAATCCCCTAATCAAAAACCCTCTATTTAAGTCCATGAAAAGAAACTGATCAGCTATCGGATACCCCGGATCTGATTCACAAGAAAAAGTAAACAAAATCCTAAAAAAACCCAACTTTTCACAAATTCCAAGGTGGATTATACACAACTCAAAAACCCATAAAACTGCAAATGAGAAAAGGGAAAGCAAACCAAAACCAATCAAAACCAGCACCTGGGTGTGCGTGTGTGTGTGAATTAGGGTTTGCACAGGGAAGAAGAAGAAACAGTCTATACCTTCGTTAAGACTTATGGGTGTGCTTATCCTATAGTACCTCCTATGCATATCTTTCCCCAAACAATCTCTGTCTAGTCTAGACCAGAAGAAGATCTCAGAACCTTAATGATGCCACAGGAGTTATTATAATTTGTCTGTACAGAAAGAAAACGAGAGCAGCTCAGTTCCCAGAGGAAAAGAGAGAAAGGGACAGATACAAAATATAAAATTGTTTGGGAAGTAAAAGATTTTTTTGGGGAAGTAAAGGGTTTTCTTTTATTTTTCAAAAGAATTTAGAACTGGAGAGAATAATGGAAGAAAAAGGCAGAAAGCTCCAAAAGAATAAAGATGGTTTACGTTTTCTATTTTGCTTTTTTCCATTTTAAAGAGTTATTTTTCTGTCTTTTGCTTGAGAAAATATATTTTGAATTTCCCATTTCGGAGGAAACCAAATGAGGATAGGTAATGTTATTTTGAAAATGATACTTCAATAAAAATCTTTTTTTCATAAAATTAAAAAATTACAAATTTGAATCTTACAATATATAAGTAGAGATGAAGTTAAAAAATAAGAAAAAAAAATTTTATTATATAATTTAAAATAATAAAAATAATTTGGTGCTAATATTTGTGTATCTAATAAAAATAAAATCTCATAATATATATGACTGTTATTAGAAGCAATTTTTATAGTCTCTTCCCATTCGTGTGGGATAAAATGCCATGTAATCGTTTTGAAATTTTCTTTTGCAAGAATTTTATTGACTTATTGTCAATATTACCTAGATTGAAGAATAAAGGTCAAAAATAAAAAATATTAATAAATTTATAATTATAATATATTATTATATAAATAATTCTTATTTAAATTATATATAATATAATATTTATTTATTTAATAATAAATTTAAATTTAAATTTATAATATTACATAATATTATAATTATATCATTACAAACAAAAAATTTTAGTAAGTCAATATTAAGTAAGTAAAGGGTTGGTGAAAAAACACATGAAAAACTTTATACTCATTTTCAGCCTGCATCAGTCATCATAATGGTAGTACTTCCAGTGAACTTTATTGCCAAATTTTTACCTTACATAATTATTTAGGAAAGAAAACAATGTAGTATAATTTCTATTTTGTGTTGACTATATTACTTTTATTTATTAATGGATAGATAAAGGAACTTTTAATATTCAAAA